ATTCTACAAAGTAGTGGTCAGATCCACAGATTGTTATGTGGCTATTGGGAGACATATTTGTTCTTGCGTTTAGCTAGGCTGTATAAATTTCGAGCCAAGGTTTATGGAGCCCTTCCATGGAGCCAACTGTTATGCTAAAATTTGGCCATTCTTCCATTACCCACAGTGACGTAGATAAGTTGAAAAGTACTAAGCCATCGGTGATGTCACCAAGGATTCCCATGCCAACCCAAGGTTTAGAGTTAGTTTATCCATTCTAGCGAAAGCCAATGTAACGTCAAAGCACTTAGATACACTCATATATAGAGTGACTGAGTATGTTATATGTATATACGCTTGTACTCCCTCTCCATTCCAAACTGTAAATATTTCTTGCTTTCTAGGTGCATATATATCTTTTGACTATTGCTATGTAACTAGGTAAACATTATGTCTAAATACATAATAAATTCTATGTATCTAGTAAAGTCCGCAGAACTTACAATTTGGAACAAGGGAAGTAAGTGAGTATACATTTATATCTATCACTACTGAAAACTCGAATACTTCTGTGGGTGTTGCATTTTTCTGTGTGTGTTTCTCTATACACACAGAAAAATTCGTTATTTTTCTGTGCGTTTCAAAAATCCCGACAGAAATATTCGAAAACCCACAGAAAAATTACGTGATTTTTCTGTGCGTGTCAATACACACAAAAAAATTGATATTATTCTGTCGGTTTGTTGAAAACGCACAGAAAAAATACATACACGCACACGAAAATTCTACCGGATAAACTGGCCCCTGCGCCGCTCCGAGCACGCCCCGCCCTTTTCTCTTCCGCAGCGCCCCTCCCCTCCCGGCCCCAGCGCCCCTCCTCTCCGTTCTTCCCCACGGGCGCCCCGGCCCCAGCGCCCCTCCTCCTCTTGCAGCGCCCCTTCTTCTTCCCAGTGAGCGGCCTCCTCTCCCCCCCTTCTTCACCGGCCGGATCCGGCCCTCCCTCTCCAAGATCCGGCCGGTGGTTGCGGTGGTGGTGGTGGTGGTGGCCGGTGGCGGGGCGTGGTGGTGGCGGCGGCCTCCCTCCCCTTCTTCTCCCTGCTTGGCCCCTCCCTCTCCCTTCTTCTTCCCGGCGGGTGCCCCTCCCTCCCCATCTTCACCCCGGCGGATCTGCCCTCCCTCTCCCGGATCCGGCCGGTGGCTGTGGTGGTGGTGGCGGCCCTCCCTCCCCTTCTTCTCCCCCATGGCGCCCTCCCTCTCCCTTCTTCTTCCCGGTGGTGCCCTCCCCTCCCCATCTTCACCCGCCGGATTTGGCCCCTCCTCTCCCGGATCCGACCGGTGGGCTGCAGTGGTGGTGATGGTGGCGGGCGGCGGGCGTGGTGGTGGCGGCCCTCCCCCCCTTCTTCTCCCCATGGCGCCCTCCCTCTCCCTTCTTCTTCCCGGCGGGTGCTCCTCCCTCCCCATCTTCACTGGCCGGATCGGCCCTCCCTCTCCCGGATCTCGCCGGTGGCTCATGGTGGTGGTGGTGGTGGCCGCCCGGGGGTGGTGGTGGTGGCGGCCCTCCTCTCCCGGATCCTGAAGCTGTTCTTGACTCCAACGAGCGCAGACGATTGTCGATTTCCTAGTTGTTGATTTTCTTTACTAGAAGCTGTGGATATTGTTTCTTTGCTCTTGCTTTAGCCGATGGTGTCCTATCTATTTGCATTCTCTAAGCTTTGTAGAATATATTTGAACCGGAGATGCTCGGGTAAGAAGTAAGAAATATACTTGCCCAATACCCATGAATCAAAACATTTTTGTTCGGAATTGTTGCAATCACTTGCTCTTGTAAACCAAATTATGCTGATTGATATTAACTTTTAATCAGATGTATGCCAAGTTGCTAGCTATCTCAGATCTGAGATATTTTTGTCTATTGAACTCCTAAAGTGAAAAATGACTAAACTTGCTAGAGATGGAACACAAAATTAACTAATCTAGGATTGTCTACAAGTAGTCTTGGGCAATGATAGAGCTACGAAAATTTTCTAGTAACTACTTGATAAAGGTGCAATCGGTTTGTTGAGAAGTTGTCCACTTTTTTATTTAGATGACTCTAATCTGCGATGATGTTTTAACTTGTTTGTTTTGTTACCACGGTTGCTTTTCGGGTGAGATGCTATGAAAACAGATGTCTGGAGTGAGATGATATGAAACCCAGATCTCGTGCGTTGCTGTTGCTCTCCCCTTCCCTAACTATGCCTTGTGACTTTTTTTTGTTTTGTACTACTCTTGAGTGGCTGTGATGAATTAAGTTTCCATTAGAGAACTTTCGCACTTTAGCACCTTATGAGCTGGTACTTGGGATATTTTGTTTACATTTCTTTGCTTAACTAGGATGGCTTGTACCAGTACAAGCAACCGATTCTGTGGCGATTCAATTCCCATTGAGAGAGAATTAAATTAATTTTCGGTGAAATTAAGTTGCAGTTGTCATCTTGATAATGGGTAAATCTGAGCCATTTCTCGAGTTCTTTTGCTCTTGTTCTTTTGCTCCGGTGAAATATATGTAGTTCTTGTGCTTTTGTGCTTCGATTGATGCTAAGAGTTAGGACTTGAATGTTTGTTCAGATTGGATCAGTTTGGCTCCTCTTTCTTGTGTGACAATTTGACTGTCGCCACCTATACATGTGTTCATGACCAACTTTGGGTGCTGTCAAGTAGGGTATCGGGGCTTGGGTGCATCGATTAACCTTGTCCATGAGATAAGTATGTATGCAACACCAAAGTTTCTGAAATCTGCATCGATGATGTGGTCTAGCAATGCACTTATAAGGTTTGCCATACTTGATTGTTCAAATAAGAGCTAGAGATTCCTGCTGAGCAGGTTGCAGTTTTGAACATCTTTGTAACCGGTAGAAACAACAGAATATTATGGGTTCAACTTCTAGAAGATTGTTCTTCTCCTCTATTGTTAGTTCAAACTGTTGTTCCCAACTTGAGTTCATTGTTGTGCCATTTCTTCTCCTCTACTGATCACTCTTGTAGTGAACTACTGTAACTCTCTTTTCATTTCTTGAGAATGAAATGTACATCCTATTTAATTAGATGTGTGTCTATGGTAAGAAGAGTCCATGTTTTCTGTGTAATATATATGCACTTGTATGTATACTTATGAGTTGCTACGATGTACCAAATGGGTTTCGAGTATAATCTTATAAGCTGGAATTGTTCTTATGTCATTCTATTGCACTTGTCTGTATCGGATAAGAACTTTTCTGTTGCTTTTGTATTATTCTTATGTCATTCTATTGCTTTTGTACTTTTATCAATGGGATGTCTGTGATTGCTAAATTGGGCTGTTTTTGTGCTTCTAGGGTTTGGAAATGTATGCTGTGTGGATGTGGACTACTTTTAATTATGCCACTAGTAGCTCACTACCTTGTGGTTGTGGATTACTTCTAAATTCTAATGTGGCTGGCTGGTTGTGGACCATATTAACTATGATGCTACTTATGCCATATTTTATTCACCCATGTTCCTGTTATTTGATTCCTAGCTTACACAACTTGTTTATATGTTTGCTACATTCCTCGTTGTTTCTAACGTTGCTGCATTCCTCATTATTCCTGTAGCTTGTGGCCTGGGAGAAGAAAAGAGAGGTCACATTAACAAGGTAGACTTGATCCATATTTACTTAGCTAATTCATTGGATTATAGTATTATACAACTTGTTTCTGTTACATTCATCATATAACAAATATGTTTTGACTTGCAAGGGGCATGTGTGCTACATGTAACAAGGGCAATTGGAAAGAGGAGAGCTCTACAATCAACATCAACAAGGTATGATTTTGCTGCTCCATTGTTGGTTAGGACATGTGTATGGCGTCGCCTCGCCACGCGCCTTAAACGCCTAGTCGACTCGAATTGGTGGGTCGGCGCGCCTCGACTTACCGCCTTAAAAACAGTGATCCAACATATCTATTTCTTTATAATAGTGTAATCCTTGCATGCATGCTGTCTCCTGTTACCTTGCTCACAGCTTGGCTTGTGGTTGGGTTCATAAACTTACTGAAATTTGTGGACTAGTGCCTAAACACTATCTTGAGTTATGGTTCATAAACTTACTGAAATCCTTGCATTCAGTTCAATGTCTATTTGAAATTACTTTTCTCTTTACCTCTGAATATTTTTTCCTATTCACAAGATTACTCTAATTAATGAAAAATGGTCTTTTGCAGGAGGCTTTGGGAATTTCTTAGTTTGAGAACAGATTGTAGATATGTTGATCAGTAGCTGTGCTTTGTTTATATGGTTTCAATAACATTGTGTTTTGTAACTGTATAATGACATTGAAACATTGAGTCCATTGTTATGAACAACAATGATATGTAACAACTTTCATGCTGATTATATGTATCGAGATTGCTGAATGTAACATGTTGATGCATGGCTAAATAATACTATTCATGTATGATGAAATATGATGAGTCATTAGTTATGAGCCGTGCTTGTAGACTTCATTACTATATGGACAATATATATTTTAATACGTTGTTGCTACTGTTTTAAAATAATTTTTTTTGTGTGTTTAATTCTTTTTTTCTGTGTGTTTATTTCTTTTTTTCTGTGTGGATTAACGCACGGAAAAATTAGTTTTAATCTGGGCGAACATAATTTTTCTGTGCGTGTGAGACCCACAGAAAAATTGTTTCTGACGGTGAACCCACAGAAAAAGTCGATTTTTCTGTCATTCTATTTCTGTGGGTTATTTTCTGACGGTACACCGTCAGAAAAATATTTTTCTGACGGTATTCGAATTTTTCCGTGGGTTTTCGCACCCACAGAAAAAATCGAGATTCCAGTAGTGTATGAGTGTGTTTGCGTTTAAAAAAAAAGAAAAACAGAGTAATGTCCTTAAAGAAATAGTTTGAATTTAGAAAGCCGTTATTTAATTATGAACACATAAGAAAGGCAGTCAGTACCAATAATAGGTACACGAAGAGGCCAAGTTAAGCAGGGTGAGCAGACGGAGGACATCACTAGGCCACAGCGGCAGGACCGACGAGCGGGGCACGGCAGAGCGGGCAGGTGTCGTGGCCGCGCAGCCACTCGCCGACGCAGGCGGCGTGGAAGTAGTGCATGCACGCAGGCAGCACCAAGAGGACCTCGCCATCGGCGAGCTCGGCCAGGCACACACCGCACGAGCCCTCACGCCACCCGTCCGCCTTCCTGTACATGCACACCAGCGGTGGTTCGGCCGCCCGCACCGGCGACACCACCTCCACGGCCGCGCCGGCTACCGTCGATGATGGTGCCCTGTCGACCCAGCCTCCAGCTCCCCTGCTCTGCCGCCGCTGACGCACTCTGTTCCCTGGTCCGGGGACGACATCCTCCTCGTCGTTGTCCTTGTGGATCCAGAAGCAGAGCAGCCAGAGCAGCAAGACGACGAGGATGAAGACGGGGAGGCCGATGGCCACTGTCTTCTTGAACTGCTCCTCGTCGTCCGTCTTCTGGCTGGGATTATTGCCGTAGTAGTACATGCTCCCACCGCCATTGTTTTTGTGGTTGGCCATCGAAATGAATGATCGATCACTGGCCGGTTTAGTCGCCTAATGAAAGTAGACTACATGATGAAGGTTTACTGGATGGCGTCGTCTTTTTGTGGGCGGCTGGGGGTTGACGACACTAACGATGATTGTTTCTTTGCTGCCGTCGATGGATCCATCCCCAAGGGCTGACAATGATGGGAAAACTGCTATGTACGTTCTCAAAGAAATTCTATATGATATATATAATGGTTTCTCCTTTTCGTTAGTAGCTACTCCGTGTTTATTTACCACCTTTGTCTTACTAATTAATGACAGAGGATATGACGATGGTTACTTGCATAAAGATTATTTAAGAAAGTTTGCATGAGGTTGATCATTGATCAAGGTCAGGACCATCGTTGGCTTAGGGTTTGATAAGAGACGGGTTAGGAGGTGTCACGCGCCTAAATCAGGGGCCAGCACTGACCCCTGACCCCCTGAGCGCGTGGTAGCCGGGGCGCACGGCCAGGGCCGCAGGCCACCACCGCTCCACCAAATTTCCGACATCCAAGCAATTCAGAGTAAATGAAGGAAATTCAGAAAAAGTAGGAAAATTAATAAAAGATTTGTTTAATAAAATAGATTACAATTTTGTTAGAGAACTAAATAGTTACTTGTAATGAAAGCATTCCAGAGGTATAAGGACATTTTTTTATAAAATTAGGATGCTTGAGAGGCAAGTCTCGTAGGGACTATAAATATAGGGGCATTGTAATCATTCCGATTGAGCAAAGAAATATCTATTCCCCTACTCCTTCTCTCCTCTCTCCTGCGCTGCCGCCCCTTCCCTATCTCTCTCTCTCTCTCGCCCATGCGGCCTGACCCTGCCACACGCCGCCACCCCTGCCCTAGCACACCACCGACACCTCCTCCCCCACGCCCGGCGCAGCAGCGCTGCCGCCCCACGCCGCCACCACTCCACTGCCCTAGGTCGCCCAACCAGCCACCACCGAGCAGGAGCGTGACACCTAGTATCCGTAGACAAATCGATCCTTGCCACATCTTCATGACGACAGACAACCACATGGGATCCAGGAGCAACAACTCTGACCTCTTAGAACTCCGCCAGCTGATCAACAATTTCAGCACCACCATCAGCAGCCAGTTCGAAGGGTATAATAGCATCCTCACCACCACTGACGCACGCCTGGCCGCAGTCGAACAGGAGCGTGCAATCGACAACGTCGCACCAAAATCAGCAGTCAAAACAATCGAATGCGCAGCGACAATCAAGCAGTTGAAGGTAGACACAAAGAACGCCATGGATTTTGTAGGTCATGCCTTCCTAGGCTCCAAGATGAGGGAACCACACTCTTCACAATGGTGCACATCATACAGGAAGTGTGCAACAATTTATTTACCCGCATAACCTCCCAAGCGGCTGTAACATCATCACTTCCTCAACAACGACCAACGCCACCAGCAGCGCCAGCAGAAACAAACACCGTTGCAGCCACAACAGCAACCAGCCCCGCCAACAACAACAAAGATATAGGAACGGCAGCGATTCAAGATAGACATTTCAACCCTGACATATGATGGTTCCACAAACCCAATAGCAAGGATTGGATGACTGGACCTGCTTTTCAGAGGACAGCGTTTCACTATCGGCAATAAAATCACATGTGCCGCCCTACACCTAACGGGTGCAGCAAACAGTTGGTACATCTGTCTCACCAAGGACACACAATTTCTTAATTGGGACCACTTCGTCACTTCCATCAACAAGGACTTCGGGCACCTAATCGACAACAACAAATTTGGGTCCTCCGCAACAGGCAGTGTAGATGAGTACACCACCAACAAATTCGAAATCTATATGTTGCATGCCAGCATATTGAACGAACAACGACAGATCAACTTCTACATCAACGGGTTAAAGGAACCCATAAGATATTCAGTGGCCAAACACATTGCCTAGGAATTAGAAACCTACGTCATGTGGGCGCGAGCGCATGAGCAACAAACGACGCAGTACAACAACCACATGATCAGAACATCAATGCTCCAATAGACAAACAAATGGGCACCAGCAACCTCGAGAAAAGAGCAACATAGGCGCCCTACACTTCTAGCAACACCCCCTACAACGGTCACAACACCACTAACAGCTCATCAACGTCCCAACGACGACCAAAATATCCATGTCTCAAAGGTGCTAGTTGCTTGCCAACCCAAAATGGTGGGAACACCCGCATCAAGCTACTCGAGAGGAACCTCAACTACGAGCCATATCCATAGCCATCATCAACAAAGTAGCGGGATCAAATTGGTACATAGAACAAGGGATGGTCTTTTACAGCAGCCACTACTACTTACCAGCAACATCACCACTATTGCCAGAATTGTTAGAATGCCTCAACACAATAAATCTATGACTACTAGTGGTAGGCTTCCATAATACTACCAAGGCAATCACCACTGCATTCCCAAACAGTATCTTACAAGAGTGAGGCCACAACGCGTCCTATCATCTACATCAATACTTTTATTCAACAACACGGGCTCCCGATTCCTCTCCATTGATGACATCTATATCACCAACAACAACACATCAGGACAACACTGCATCTCACCATCAGAACATGACATGGGCAACATGCATTTTGGCACCTTGGAGAATCAATCAACTCTGCCCCCAAAAAGGCTAACAATAGCCTTATGTGTCCGAACCCCAATGTACACCTCATTATAGCTCCGGTATACAACCTCCATCGACCTCCAAAAACAATGAAGGTAATTCCACTATGATCGAGCACTTTAGAGCAACATGTTAGCTAGAGCAAAAAAACTCGTGGACTGACAACCAGACCAGGCACCTACAACTACTACATTTTCGGTATATCTGCAGCTGCCAATATTGCTTTGAATTCTCTGCCAACAGCAGTACAAGCAACAACACCGCGACATGCCAACGACTTGTCCGCTTACAGGCAATACCATACGACGGAACCTTCCAGTCGACGGCCTCCAGCAGTAGACCATGATTCGGCGCGAGGACGCACCGAGTGGACACGGTGGGGAGATGTCACATGCCTATGTTAGAATCATAGGTGTGTACCTCTCTGTGTGTAACCCGTAGATTCGGGGAAGACCTCATCCTTGTCTTCTCCATAGATGTACCACAGCGGGTAGACGCCGGTGCCGCGGTAGCTCCCTTGGCTCGGTGTAGTCCGTAGTGGTACTGCAGTGGTCCGGTGGTGGCTCTGCAGTGGTGCGACGGCAGTGGTGGGGCACATCCCGTCGCTGGCAGCACGGCCTTTAGATCGGATTAGGGTTTTCTTTGTAGGTGGGTGGCGGCTCCGGTCAACCTCATGACCCGAGCCCAGTTCCCCACTCCTCTATATATATGTGCTGTGCGATAGGAGCCCACCAACCAGTTAGGGTTGGGCTCCTCCGATCAGGGAGCAGAGGCAAGGGCCCAATAGGCCGTTGGGCCTATTGGTGGAGATCAACTAACATTCTCCCCCTTGATCTCATTCCATCTTTCAATTTCATATCATTTACTTTTGTTCATTCCATTACAGATTAGCGCATAGAGCATGTCTCATCGTCCCGGTCCATTGCCGATAGATTTAACACCTACAACACACTACTCTGTTCTGAAATAAATACTAATCTTTGGGCCTTCTTTTGTCTAGGAATTTTAGGCTTCCCTTAAACCTATGCTAGCTACATGTTCTCTGAACATGTTGGGTGGTAAGCCTTTTGTAAGCGGATCCACGAGCATCCGTTCTATACTTATATGCTCAAGACTTATGACTTGATCCCAGACTTTATCTTTCACAACATAATACTCTATGTCAATGTGTTTGGCAGCACCACTTGACTTATGTTGTGAGCATACTGTACTGCCAGATTATAATCGCATTATAACTTTAGTGGTCTATAGATGTCGTCAACCACCTTCAAACCGGGTATGAACTTCTTTACCCAGTTCACCTACCCGTTGCCTCATAACACGCTACAAACCGTCATACATTGTGGACAATGTAGTGACAGTGTGCTTTGAGCTTCTCCATGAAATAGCTCCCCTTTGCGAGATGATAGAAAATCCACGTCTGGATATGTATTCACTCTCGCATAATCAGAATCTAAATATCCCACTATGTGGAATGAATCAGATCTTTTATATGTCATCATGAGGCCTTTCGTTCCTTGCAAATAATGCAAGATTTTCTTTACTAATTTCAGTGTTCTATTCCAGAATTGCTCTGGAATCTGCCAAGTAAAACCCGGTAACAAATGCCAAGTCAGGGCGCGTACATACTTGAGCATGTTGCAAGCTTCCGACAGCTGAAGCTTATGGAACCACTTTCACTTTATCAATTAAGCTCATATTGGTTCCTGGGGCATTGAAAATCCCCATATCTGTCGCCCTTGACTATAGGAGCAGGTGAGGGACTATATTTGTGCATACAGAATTTCTTTAAGATCTTTTCCATGTATGCCTTTTGTGACAGTCCTAATACCCCTTTACTTCTATCTCGGTGAATCTCGATCCCTAGAACGAACGAAGGTTCACCAAGATCTTTCATATCAAATTTTGAGGACAAAACTTCTTTGTCTCCTGTAGTAGACTGACATCACTACTAGCAAGTAAGATATCATCCACTTACAGGACAAGGAAGATAAACTTCCTATTCTTAAACTTTGCATAGACACAATTGTCCTCTACATTTTCTTTAAACCCAAAATTCTTTATTGTCTGATCAAACTTCAAGTACCACTTTCTTGAAGCTTGTTTTAATCCATTAATGGATTTCTTTAGGCGGCATCCCATTCGTTCTTTTCCTTCCATGACAAAACCTTTCGGTTGTGTCATGTACACATTTTCCTCCAAGTCGTCGTTGAGGAATGTCATCTTTACATCCATCTGATGTAATTCTAAATCGTAATGTGCCACTAATGCCATTATGATTCTAAAGGAAATTTTACATGAGACTGGAGAAAATGTCTCATTGTAATCAATCCCTTCTCTTTGC